ATTTTAAATTCAAGTCCATATAAAGCTTTAAACTAGCCCCATTAACAGTAAATGGACGTGAGCGACGGCTAATTAAGTTCATGGTTCGATTCTCGCTTGTAGATAAATATATTGTCTTCTTTGTATGGCCTACAGTATACCAGTGGAGTTGCATAAAATGTATTAGATACGTAACAAAAAATGTAGGAGGGCTGTTATGCTACTACACCTGCAGTCCATTAACATACTGAATGCAAATACATTGGATTGAGCTATTGCCGAAGAGAATCGTGCTGCGGTTCTCGGTCGCGGTAAAAGAAAAAAAAGTTTTTATTTTGTTTACGATTACTAGTGTGTGTGTGTGTGAGAGTGTTATTGTGATGTAAAAGAATCTGCCCTCTTACCTCCCCGACATAATTTAATTTATCAAATGGGAAGCAAAAGAAGCAGAGGAAAGCAAGGCGCATTGCATTGTGGTACTAGTTAAGCGGCTAAACTGTAAGACAAGGCACCGATGTGGTCGATTGCGGTATTGGGCCGAGAGATATGATCATATATTATTTTTTCAACTATATGTCAGAATTTACTATAGTGCTCCTCCCCCCCCCCCTAGCTGTTATAAAATCAAATACATTTTTTCCACCTTATTGCAAAAATTACTATAATGCCCCCCCCCCCCCCCCCCTAGCTGTTATAAAATCAAATACATGTAATCATAAAACATGCTTGTACGTTCTAATAAACGCTAAGGGTGAATTTTAGCATGTAAACAGTCACGTGACTACCATCCACTGGTGCCACAAAATGGCGAAACAAACATTTTTCGCGCTCCCCCCTCTACTAAAAAAAACCCCCTCTGTAGTTGTCCGAAAATGCCACCCCTTCGTTTATAAAATTCCACCCGGACCTTTTCCTACGCCACTGCGTGTAATAAAAAAAATTTTTTTAAAAAAACTCACCTATCAGTTAGTACCAACCATGTAACTATAATCTAAAAATGTTTATATAACCACATGCTGCAATCAGGGACGTCATTTGGGTAGGGCAGGGTGGGGCATTTTCCCCCCTCCCTTGAATTTGCAGGTTTTATTTAAATTGCTATGTACTGTGGTGCCTCCAGTAATAAACAACTGAAAAAGACTACCAAGCTTTGGTTTTGTCCAACCCCTCCTCCTCCAAAAAAAACAACAACCTGAAATGGCGCCCCTGGCTGCAAAGCTTTCAGTCTTGTCTTTTTTGCATATTTCATTTCGTATTGGTTCATAAAATACTTCTTCTTCCATATTTTGAGACCCAACGGTCAATGTACTGATCATTCTAGCCCCTATTTTTGTAGAGGGGGTTCGCGATGCTTCTGTGCGTGGTTTTTAAGGGCATACTTGACTGATTGCATGCAGAGGCTTAGCGAGGATGTTTGGTGCCCGGGGACATCTGTCCCCCCCTGCCACCCCCCCTCGCTACGCCTCTGATTGCATGTAGTGCAATTTAAACCAATTAGACTTTATTGTGTGATTTTTTTTCTCAATGGGGGAGGGGGGGCCCGGGAGGTGCGGTCCCGGGAGGGGGGTCCCACGAATTTGTTATTGATATGTGCTAATAGTGTTGTTGTTTTGTCTTCATTTCTGGATGGCCCCTATTATAGCTACTGATTCACTTTCAATGAGAAACCATTGGCACATAAGGTACATGTATGAAATAAAATCATAATTCATTGTTTTAAGTGTAATTTATTTAGTATTAAATGTCCCACCCGTCTAGTAATTACCAAATGTTGTCCAGATATTTATTTTTTTTAAAAATGGCATTAAAATGTGTTGTACCGGTATTTCCATGTGATCACCGACCACTTCATCCTCCCGGTCTGCAATCTACCGGCCTCTTGTGTTACCCTCTCCAATCCCCACCGTCACACGTGGGCGTTTTCGCGCCCATGGGGACCACATTGCCTGCTACACGGCTAGACAATCGCCTGAGCCTAAAGCTTGTCGCCGCCGTCGGGACCCATGCAAGTGTTTTTAGATTAACTTGGCTCTTTCAACAGGTTGACAACGTTGAGGACGACTGCGATGTCATTCTTCTGTTACTCTCAGCAGTACTACGGTAAGAGTGGTTTATACAAGAGGCTACGCAGATCCCCGCTCTCTCATCGTTCTGAGATAAGAATTAAAAGCTATAGAGGTCATCCATATTATGACGTCACGCATCTTTTTTATTCCCCCCCACATACACAAAAAAGGGTGGGTGGGGCGTAAGGGTATGTGGGGGGGGGGCGAGGCAGTCTTGAAATTTTGACGGACGATGCATTAAGACAGCTTCTAACTTTTATGACAATCTTTTTTAAGGGTATGTGGGGGGGGGGGCGAGGCAGTCTTGAAATTTTGACGGACGATGCATTAAGACAGCTTCTAACTTTTATGACAATCTTTTTAACTTTTTTTTCCTTGCGGGTTGGGGGGGGGGGCGCTCAAGTTGTGAAACAAAGCATGTAAGAAACACAATGATGTATAAAACTGGTTAACGACACACAAAAGAACTAACACAACTACAAGCAAACAAAAATGGCCATCGGAGCTTAATTAATAAAGTTGGCCATCTGGCTTTGATGTTAGGCCCTTTGTAGGCCAACATTCATTGATTATTATAAATAATTTAATTCGAGAACACCCCAACTACACCCCCCCACCCCCCATTGTAGTCTGTTGGATGGTTGAAATGGTGGGCCGAGGTCTAAGTGTTGTAGGGTAATAAGGGGAGAGACTGCAATCAGGTTAGCACAATGTGGAATGAGTAAAACAAAGTAAGGTTAACCCTGGAAAAGAAACGCAACAGAACAATGAACGTGTCGGCAGTGTTGAAGTTCCTCCAATCATTGGCGTAGCATTGTTGTCAGCGCCCGGGTGGAAGGCAAGTCGTGACAACCAGGGTAAGGTGTGTATTTCGCCCGGAGCAAGGCAAATGGACCACGCGTAACCTTTGACCGATCACCCCAAGGAGTTCCACCTGTCTGATATTAAACCCTTTACCACCTCGCTACCACTAGGGACGTCATAATGGGTAGGTCGGGGGGTATATATACATTATTATATATACATTATTTTTTTTTTTTTTTTTAAATAACTATTTACTGTGACTCCTCCAGTAATATGGGGGGGGGGGGGGGGTTAAGGGGGCCCTTCCCCCCCCCCCCCCTGGATTGATTGGATAAAAAATTTTTAGACAAAAATAGACAAAAAATTTATTTAAGTAAAAAAAGAGAAAGAAACTAAGCTGATGTCCTGTCCGTTCGTTCACCATACAAATACGCTACAGTTAATTAAAACTACATTAAAACATTACTAAAAAAAATGTTGCCCCCCCCCCCTAGATAGTTAATCGATTTTTTTTTGGCCTCCCCCCCCCTACCCTAGAAAGTTTTCTGCGGGCGCCCATGCTGGCTAGCACCCGTTTGTTGTTATTTTTTTTAAAAAAGAGAGTGCAATTATACTTACGAATGTCATTGATTATAACGCCATGTAAAGTTATTTTATTAAAATTTTAAACAATAGGCTGACTTTCAAAAAAAAAATTTTTTTAAAATAATAAATTGTAGACTTAAAATTGAGAACCATCTAAGGTAAGTCACTGCCTTCCAATTATTTTCAAAAAGAAATTTCACAAACACATGATTATTAGTTGAGAAAGCTTTATTTTTTATTTTTTTTCTTTTAAGAGAAAACTTTTATAATCATTTAATAGGCCTAAGGGTTAATATTTTGCTTAGTAGCAATTAAAAAGATTTAATGCTTTTACTTTTAAAAGCCATAATTGAATCATTGCATTTTTAATATTATTGCAATCATAGGACCTAATTATAAATGTTTTAGACTTTAGACCCAGGCAGTGTTTCTTTCAGAATTCCCCCCCCCCCTGTGGGGGGGGGGGGGGATTTCGGTTTTTTTTTTGNATTCAGATTTTTTTTTTTGGGGGGGGGGCATTGTCAGCAGTTCCAGTTGATTTATTGTTGGACATATTTTTGCTCCGGAAGGGGGGGGGGCGGGACTGTATAATCGAAAACTTCTTTTTTTTCGAGGGCCCTACTATGTCTTATATATATTTTGCTTCTGATGTGGCTGCTTCATGTATAGCAACCGCCCCCTCCCCCTTTTACTCAACATGTTTTTATATTAATAGTATTGAGTGGAGAAAAAACGCTGCACAGCAGTGAGCGTCAAGAAGGTTGAATTTTTTCGGAGGCGACTATTATATTACTTACCTAATAGCGATGGGTGTGGTGGAGGACTGCCTTTAGGACTGTCTGTTGGCCTGTTGTGTAAAAGCTGGCAGGTAGGTAGTAGGACTGTCCGTAGGCCTATTGAGGGTTATTGTTTAAAGGTCAGCAGGTAGGGTGTAGGTCAGCCTCTATGCCAATTGTTTTTAAGGTAGGGTGTAGGACTGTCTGTAGGACTATAGTAGGATTATTGTTTAAAGGCCAGCAGGTAGAGTGTAAAACTGTCTATAATAGGCATGTTGTGTGAAGGCCGGCATTTATTATAGAAAATGAGAACTTAACTTTTTTTGTAACACTTGGACCCAGCGGGTATCGTCTCGAAATACCCCGACCCGGTATAAAAAAAAATGCACCCGGTTACGTCCTATAAGTAGGCCTATAGGCCTATAAATAATCTTCCAACTCCAATGACTCGAAAGTTTCATTGAAATATCAACATTTCTAAAATATAATATTTTCCCGATTGCATCGTAAACTTCCGATAACCTATATGCGATATAAACATTTATTACATTTTATTACTTAAAAAAAAAAAACTATCATTATTTTTTAAATACTTTTTCGGATAATGATGTTGCAAATAGGCCTAATAGCTTTTGTTTTGTTGGATCCAAGTTTGCTTCTCTCCCCTCTACTAGCGCTCTGCACAGAAAGAAAATCCCTGACACAATCAAATAACAAAGGGAAGGTAACTTCAAGCTTGGTCGTATGTTACCCACATTGCTGTTTATTGATAGTATAATTTGGTGCAATCGGGTGGGGTTATTGTCACAGCCTTTGGGCCATTGAGATGGAAAGTTAGTCAACGTGGTCATCTTTAGCTACTTTTGGTATAGGCCTATAAAGTCTCGAGTGGCTGCAGTTAAGTCAGTCACTTGATTTCGTGTGTCGTAAGGTGTTGAATTCTTGTGTTAGTGGGATTGATATTTTTGAAAGTCTCGATTTGCAGCACACATTGATTATTATTTTATAATGGCAGAAGGTGGATATGATCCAAGGGTGTCTAGAAATACTTCCGTAAACAATAGGCCAAAATTTAATCAAGTTTGCAGGTAAGTAATAGTCAATAGATTTTAAACCAGGAATTTGTTCTCTTAGACTCTTTTATTCTTAATTAAATCATGACAATTTTTAAAGCTAAATTATTATTACTTTTTTTAAAGTTGAAGTATATTAAATTAATTTCAGATTTTATAATTGAAATTGAGTTTTTTCTTAGTTAGACTTCACATTTTCATTGTTATTGTTGATTGTATTGTATAGTATGTGACATGTGTTGATATTGTCATTGTTGCATTTACAATAATTTACATGCCATGTCTTGTCTTATACTTATGTCATGTAGGCCTATACTTAAACTTGTCAACTCCAGAAGGCAGACTTAATTTTGTGATTGGTGGGGGCTTTTTAAAAATGTAACAATAATTATTAATTAACCTTCAATTAAGTAAGCTTTCTAGTCCTAGTGGCAATACTATATATTTAATTATATGGTAAGCCAATTGTATTATATAGGCTAGAGACTAGAGAAAAATAGGAAGTGGTCTAATAGTAATTAATACTAATAACATTCTGATCAGAGGATAGTAAGGACAAAAATAGTAATTCTAATTGCTAATAATAAATAAAAACTAAGTCTATGCCCTATTGCATAATGATATAATAATATGGCTATTGACAAGGTATTTTGATATAACTTTATTAGATATCGGACCATCATATAAATAAGTGTATCAGTTTGATTTATTGGACTGTCCTGATAACTTTTGGCTCACAGTCACTCACTGTCTTTTGTGGATCAGGAAATGAAGAACATGAATTATATGATTGATGTGTGTCGTGTGTAGTTAGTTGAGTTGTAGGCTTACTAAATTACCATGATTCAAGAAATCACTATGTGAAGTGTGTGTCTAACCCTGAATGTACCCAGCATTAAATTATTTAACTGTATATTATTATTTGGCACTTAATGATCTGTTGCTGAACTCTGAGGAATTCCTTCAATTACTGTCATTGCCAATATGGTATGTAGACGGCTTAGACAAGGAATGTTTTTTACTTACAATAAAATAACATTAATCCAAAATAAAAAAGTATTGATGTTAAGTAAATTTTTTATTGTTTAATGTGTTCTATATTGCATTGAGAAAGCCGCCTGAAAATTTGGTAACATTATCTTTTAAAGTAAAGAAGTTTTGGGAAAAATAAAACAAATGTGGAGAATTTTCGTTAAATACAAAGATAAATAATAAGTGATTTAAAAAAATTCACCCAAAAAATAATTGAGAAGTCCACTTTTATTTGAGATAGAGAGATGAACTTAGTCTTTTTACCAATTTAAAAAAAAATGATCAACTAACACATTCATACATCCTATAATTCACGCCATTCATTTCCTGATCCACCAAAGTCACTGAGTGTCAGCCAAAAATTATCAGTTAGGACAGTCCAATAAATCAAACAGTATATTATTATAGGCCTAGGTCTACTAAACTATCACTTTCATATTTTGTATTAATATTATTACCTTATTATTTTGAAATTATTTATTAATTACCTTACTATAGGCATACGGTGGTTAAAAAATCCTAATTTGGAAATATTCATGTGCATTTTCGTCTTTCAAATCCATTTTTTTGTTGTTGTATTTTATGGCTTCTTGGTTCAAGCTTGTGACTGCCTTGGTTATACACTGAACTATTTTGTTACAATATTCTTATTATTAAATATTATGGTTCCAAATTTTGAGGAGCATTCACAAAGATATTAAATCAATATACGATGTAAAATCAATATACAATACACAACGTAATAATATACCGTATATTTATGATTGATAAACAGCCAGCTGTTTGTTTCTGAAGCTTGGTAAAGGATTGGAAAAAATGTGTGGAAAAAATGTAACTTATTTATAAGATAAACAAATAGACAGTTTAATTCAATAATTGCATTTTATGAATTTTTTTTTTTTTAATTGATATTTTACTCAATGAAATTATTGAACTCAGTCAACATTCTAGAAATTATTAGTTGAGATAAATTATATTTTCATTAATTAGGCCTATTAGAATAATTTAGTTTAAGACCAGTTTTCTTTAGCCACTCAAAGGCATCATTTATACATCTGATTTAGGCATATTATATTATATCCAGTATTTTGTACAGTTTTAAACATTTTTTTCTATTTCTATAGCCATAAAATATTCTGCATAAGTTTTTCACTAGATTTAAAATACAAAGATTTTTGCACATGACAATGACAGCACACTTTGAAAGTCATAACGGTATTAATGCAATAAATTGAACGTTGGTGAAAAGGAAGCTGAAATTCTATTTTATTCACATAGCGCCTAAGGTAAAAAAAACAACTATCCACATGTTTTTCCCCAGTACAGTGAAAAATTAGAATCTATATTGGTGGTAACTTTATTAACTTTTCTTATATGTATTTTCCTTCGTTAATGTAAATACAGGAATATGTATTGCTACATCTAGCACAATTAACCAAATAATATGCCTAATTACATCTAAATTGCTCACAAATTCATTTTCTAAATCAATCTTTAACAAAAACTCAGTCTGACTTAAACAAGCTATTTTTATTTAAAAGATGCGATCTTTCCAGATGTTGACATGCTAAAATGTGCGAGCAGTAAAGAGGATAATTATCCTATTTTTTCAATGTTCATTTTTTTTTTCTATGGTTTTTCATGCTGTTGTACAGTTCTTGGGAGTTTTCGTACAGTTTTTGCTCCCACATGTTGGCTTGTATGTAATGGATCAGGAGCAGAAACTGTATGATTTTTAAATTTGGTATATTGAAGTGATATTTTTAAAAGTTATTTTACAGTAAAAACAATTAGTTTTTGTTTTTTCTAACACTATGTGATCAACTTTATATAAAATAACTTTCTTATGCATTGAGACATTTAATTTGGTGTTCAAAAAAGTGTAATTCTATTTGTGTAAATAGGTATTTTCTACATGGGGCTTGTAATAAAGGTGATAGCTGTCTTTACAACCATGACCGTTCAAGAGCTGTACCTATGGACACGATATGTAGATACTACCAGTACGGTCAGTGTGCATATGGAGACAAGTGCAGGTTTGTTTTAAAATCAAGATGTCACTTTTTAGGGATACCTTTTATTAGCTTATAGAACATTGGAAATGTTAACTTCATTATTTTTTTAAACTACATTTCTTTTTAAAAAAAATCACAATTACAAATTTCCAGTTAAGGAGTTATCAGATTTATATTAATGATATGAAATATTATATTTTGAAATTATTTAATAATTACCTTACAATAGGGTGGTTAAAAAAATCCAAAGTCGGAAATATTCATGTGCACTTTCGTCTTTCAAATCCATTTTTTAGTGAAAAGATACACACGAAACGAAAAGTGAAGTCTAAGAACTGCCTCAAAGGGCTTAAAATTTTATATAACGTAGCCCATTTAATTAAAAGTATACAGATCATCTCAAAAAACATTTTGAAGAAGAGAGCAGAAGATGGGCCACCAAACGTATCTAATGTTTAGTTGTTTGCTTAATTGCTACCAGTATATTGTGTTGCTCTGTCAACCTTTTCATTGAAAGCAGTTTTTATGAAATGTAACATTTCTTGCTTTGTTTCATGGTTTACTCTGCCAGAGAAAAAAAGCTAATGGCACTAAAAAAATAAGTGTAAGCTCTAAAAGTTCAAGATAGTCATCTCGTGGTAGAGTTTCAGACTCAAGTTGCAGCACTTCTAATAGAAAATTCAATTGCTTGATTTTTAAGCACCAACAGATTTCCATTTAGTTTAGCATAACATATTCACATGTTTCATAATTTGATTTGTCTTATATTTTGCCTATACTCTTAAAATCTCTTAAAAAACAATCCATTGGGCCTGATTTTGAACCATATAAGGATTTGAAAGTGTCTCCACATAGAACTTCTGGAATATGATGTCCTTACAGCTTTCCCTTTTTTTAATAAGAAACAAGAACGCCAACTCTTCCTTCTTTTTGTACACCATCAAAGTGAACAACTAATTGACAATCAACTAAGAACTTTCCGTCATAATTCTCTTGACAGACTCAGAAAAATTTGCACCATCTTCTTGTTAAACACTGTATGATCTTGCTGCAGCTGCAAGAATATAGACAGTCTTTCAATTACTTGTATTTGTATTATCTAGTGTATGTGCCAAAATCTTGAAAACCCTTGCATATATGAGGTAATTTCTTTTGCACTTGACTGAATTTGATGATGATGCACCTTCCGTTTTCCTGACTAGGTTCACTATTATCATCCGAATAATTAATTAGACAGTGTTACCTCGTCATTGTTTCACATTTTCTGATTTCTTCTTTTTCTATTTTAAATGAAGCCTTTTCTAATTTTTTTGTGCTAATTTTGTGTCCATCGATAACATATTTCTTTTGAGGAAGCAGTTCAATCAGAAATGTTTTGTCAGATTTTATCAGATTAAGTGCCTTGTGGTGTGAAATATCAAAAAGTGCTTATTTAAATTCACAAACTCTGTTTCTTTTGCAACTTGGGCTTCACGACAATAGTTTTTTTTATTCCGATGTACATGACAATACTTGGTAAGGAACATTTCTTTCTTCTGACACTGGAATTCAAGTGTTGCCCCAAATTTTTTTTTTTTTTTTTTTTTCTTTATTACAAGTTTTTTCGTCTTTTTTTTTTTTTTATTTTTTTGTTTTGTTTTTTAAGGAACATTTCTTTCTTCTGACACTGGAATTCAAGTGTTGCCCCAAATTTTTTTTTTTTTTTTTTTCTCAATTACAAGTTTTATGGCACTTTTTTTGTTATAAATTATTGGTTTTGTCTTGGCCGTGGGTGTCTTTGTCCAGTATAGTACTCTTTAAAGTACTCATTCAAAACATCACTTGAAGTTGACAGGGAACGTACGGCCATCGAAATCATTTAGTGGTACCCCAAGTAGGTAAGAAGCCCTTTGAGATCGGGTCGCAGCCATTATTCATCTGTACAGGTAATAGTGCTAATCTTAGAGGGCTGTGATGCAGTGATTAATGAACTGCATTTGAGATGATATTTTGCTCAGGCACTTTTTACATGATAAGGAAAGGGGAAATTCATGTGCTTTTGAATGTCATTATTGTTCACTTTTCACTATATCTTTTGAACCACCCTACTGTATATACTCATTAATGAGCCTGATCACTCATAAAACGAAACCCCTTAGTTTTGCAAGGGAAAAGCCTGAAAAGAGTGTCTCTTGCTCATAAACCGGCCTCATAAAATTATATGCTAGTAGAAGTAATAAGGTATTAAAGAATGTAATTTATATTATTGATAATCCAAAATTTTACAAATATTATAGTGTAAAATTTTGTATAAAAACAAATTATCATACAGTTTTATGTATAAGTATAACGTATACTGGCTTTGCATGTCTACTGGTATATATGGTAACCATACTGTATGTAAAAAAAAATGGGACCTTGGCAATCTACAGTATTTTGATAGGCAATCTCAGCAGTAGCAAAATGAGGAAAAAACGTGATCCAATACACAAGGTTTTATGTTGACTTCGTTTTTTTATATATTAGGATCAATGTACTTAAAAAAAAGACAATGTATGAAAATCTACTATATTCCTCTCATAACCTGACTACTCCACTTATTCCCCTGAAATATATTTTCAAAAACAGTCAGCTTATGAACACGTAAATACAGTAATAGAAATATTGTAACAAAATAGCTTTAGCGTCGTTATTAAATGACAGAGTTATCAAAAACAAACAAAAAATGATCTCACCATCAGGTACGACCATGTGAAACGTCAGGTCAGCAGCAAAGATGAATCACCATCAGAAGTGTATTCTCAGCCCACACAAAACGGAAGAGCCCTCCTGCTCCAAGACAAGGACCAAAGAACTTCCAGTATGGTGACTCTTAAAAAAGGGGGGGTTGATGAGCCAAGCGCCAAGAAAATAACTGTCAGAGATGAGAAAAAGTGGGTGCAGGCCAGGGACTTTGTACCAGGACAAAAATATTACGGGGCAGGTAGGTCATCCATGAAACCCATATTGGCATAAAACATGATGTATTTTATCACTTGAAATTAAATTTTAGATGATTTCTTTATATCTGTGCAGTGGGGGGGGGGGGGTGTGGCTGAAGGGGATTGGTGGCCTGGGGGCATTTACCCCCTTTTTAAAGAGGGTCCACATTTTTGAGTTTTATTTCATGGATGGGGTGCATCAAGATTCTCCTCCCACCTTTGGCAGCACTAACCCTAGCAATGCAACTGTTTCTGTGTATCTGTATGTATCATGAACTCAATAATTTTATTAATAAAATTACAGTCAGCTATGCGGATGCTGTGCAGCCATATTCATTACCTCAACCAGCCATTGATGAACCACAGTTTCATTGTGAACCACCGTTGCTTTGTCCATACTTTGCCCATGGTGACTGCCAGTTTGGTGTGAGTTGCCCATATGTGCATGGTGATATCTGTGATATGTGTGGGATGCCCAGGTTGCACCCAACTGACCAACAACAGAGGTCACAGCATGAAAAGGTATTACTTTCCTGTTGGTCAACAATACAGAAGATAATTGATATGCATGAAATATAAAAATAATTTTCTCAAATTACCATGTATTTGCCATTATGTTGATACTTATAATTCCTTTAACATGTAACATAAACTTAATGAAATTAATCTTCTTATATAGGAATGTCTAGCTCAACATGAGAAAGACATGGAGCTGGCATTCACCATTCAAGCCAGTAAAGACAAAGAGTGTGGAATTTGTCTGGACAATATACTGGACAAAGACACCCACGGCCAAGACAAAAGGTTTGGTATTCTTGAGAACTGCAACCATTGTTTTTGCCTGGACTGTATTCGTCAGTGGAGGAATAATAAGAGTGTAACCATTGAAACTCACAGGTCAGTTTGAGAAATTAATGCTAATGATAAAACTAAAAGCATGTTCAAGTATTGATGTTACTGACTGGGGAACAACCATAATAAGTAGAGACAGTGTAGGATTCATATCCCGGATTTAATAAATGTATTCACCTGAGGAGTCTTTTAATGTTTTTTTTTAAAGTAATTTTTAATCTCTTAAGAAAATATCAAATTGTACATTGAAATGAAATATGATTTTTTTGGGGACATATAAAACATTTTCATACATTGAATTGAGTTTTCACCATGAATATAGTTGTTTTTTTTCCCAGGTCATGCCCCACCTGCCGCACTCATTCTGATTTTGTGACCCCCAGTAAATATTGGGTAGAGTGTCCAGAGGAGAAGAAGAAACTCATTGATGCATACAAGCAAGCACTGAGGTAAGTTACATATAAAGTGCCTCATTGACTCGCCCTCTTTTGTTTTCTGATGAGTTGCTTCTAATTTTTCATGTTAAATTTTTTTTTTTTTAAATGTCATTGCTTTGGTTTATCTGTAGCTTTTTCAATTTTAACTTTTGGTACTTTATATTTTAAAAAAAATAAAATTTGACTAATCTATTCTTCAATTGGAATGATATTTCAAATCGGGATGTTAATTATCATGGATTTTTTTTTCTTCTTCTCAGACAAATTATCAGTTTTGAAATCTGAGAAAATTAACAATTAAATTTCAATTAATTTCATTAATCAAACTTTCAGGCCACCCCCAACCACCCAAAATCAGTTTTTCAATGGGAAGATAAAATGAAATTTCCAATTACTGCGCTAAATTAGATTCTTTAAAAAAAATATAGCAAGTGTGTTAGGTGCATAATATTTTCTTTTGATTTTCTGAAATAGTTGGTGAAATAAAGTGTAAAAGCGGGTGGGTCGTTAGAATATTAATATAGTTGATGGGTGTTGTGAAAAAAATGTGCGGTTGCGAGCCTTGCGATTCTTATAAAGTGTGCTACTTGTATGGATATTTTCTTTAATTTTCAGCCTCACCACCCACCCACCCCACCCCCCCCCACCCCCTCTTTTGCTCTGTTTTACATTTTATACGGAAAAAGGTTGTTTTTAGGGGTTGTGTAATAGTTCATTTGTTTCTAAGGGACTAATTATGGAAATGATATTGGTGTCCAAATGTATCTTACAAATGAAAAGTAATGTGTCTATGAAAGTTCTATGTGGTATTTGTTGACCTTCTATTTCTTGTTCTTTTTTCTGGCTGCCTGTAGTGAACTTTTTAAACTATCTCACACAATAGAGGAAATGAGACATTTGATTCAAGACCCAGATTCTTATTACATGCTGCATAAAATCTTTGAAATTATCATTGATGAATGCACTCAGGAGAGAGATATCTCTGTGCAAAAGTATTTAAATGAGCTGAGGATTGAGGTTGAAGCTAGGCTTTCGATGGTAGAGTATTCCATAGAGACACTTCTCTATGAAGTCAACTTACTTTTTGTTTCTAACATGCATTGGTACAATTTGTTTTACTAACATTGTTTTTTAAATAATTTTTGTTACTAATACAATTAAACATAAAGCCTATGTGAAATGAAAATGTGTAAATGTCTAGTTATATAGAGATTATATGTATTCAGTAAGTCCATATTTGTGAAAACTTCAGGTTTAAAAATATTCACAATTGAGAACTTCCATTATATCCTCTAACAAGGGTCTTAAACATTTTTTTGGCAGAGCATCCCACACCCTGCCTTCTTGATTAAAAAATATTTCCAGCGGCTAATATTCATTTCAAAATATATCCAGCGGCTAATCTCGATTTCTAAATATTTCCAGTGGCTAATCTCGATTTCAAAATATTTCCAGCTGCTAATCTCGATTTCAAAATATTTCCAGAGGCTAATCTCGATTTCAAAATATTTCCAGCGGCTAATCTCGATTTCAAAACAATTTCCTGCATTCCATGATAAAAAGTAGTTAAAACATTCAAATGAAACTAATTTTCTGCGTCTTCCAGAACCTCCGATACGGGTCTTTTGAACCCCTGGTTCTAGATCCCCTGCTCTTCAAATATCTAAAGTAATTAATGTAATGCACTAACTCAGTGGTCGGCAAATGGAGTCCGCTCGGCCAGAAATTGGTTTTGACTCCGAAAAACATGGTCCTTTACAGGTTCTTGAAAAGAAATTTGACTCTCAAAAATATTTAATTGTCCTGCTGCTAATTTTTGGCTCTTTGGACTAATGAGGTTGCCGCCCACTGCACTAACCAATCAAACATTTAGATATTTCTTATCCCCTTTTCCTGTCTCCTATATTAATATAAAATTTGACATAAACCATGAGTGTTCCAGCTAAGAAATATGAAATATATCTATAACCTAGAGGATACTCCTGCAAAGTAAAAAAATTTTTGAAATGAGCATTTCCAGAATATTTTATCTGAATGTAAAATCTTTTGTTGCTGTCTTATTACTTTGTGTTACAAAACGTACTAATTATTTGACTTATACATTTTAGAGAAGGCAGTTAGTGTAATAGTTTCTACATGAGGAACCAAATTGCAATTGTATATCTTAAAATTTAAATAACAATAAATAAATGAAAATTATATCTTTAATACTAATTGTCATTTTGCTTATTTAGAATGTGTTATTCAGTCTTCTTTAAAAATGTGTCTCTTTCTTCTTCTACAGCTCTAAGCCCTGCAATTACTTCAAGGAAGGTAAAGGAGAATGCCCATTCAACTCCAAGTGCTTTTACAAACATGCTCTCGCCGATGGTAGTATTGTGTCGGGGAACCTTGTCCAGCGACGCAGGAGGACAAACGCCGACGGCGAGAATTTAATAGAAGATAACCTTTCACTCTGGGACTTTGTGGAGAGGCGTGAGCATGAGAGTGGGTACTCCTTGCAGGATGAACTTTCTATTGTATTAAATAGGATCTTGCAATATGATTCTGATGAGGATGACAACAACAACAACTTATTACATTTACAGTACAACTTTGCACTCACTGACTCAGAATCGGATTCAGACAGTGATTTCGTATAATATTTTTTTACTTCTCTGATTTTTTGTTTGGTTGCTGTGTGGGTTTCGTCATTGATAAATGAGGTGCCTTCTCACAAGAGAAATTTTTTTTGGTCAGGAGTTTAACATCAAACTTAACTTATTAGCTGTTTAGTCATTTATCAGTATAATACCCTGATAAGTCATTACATTGCTAGTGTGTGGAGAATAATCTTATTTCAGAAATATTTTAAAGGACAGACTTCGGGTCTGGTCCCATTTAGTAAAACTTGAGCATTGACAGTAAGTAGTTTTCTTAAGTCAGTTAATGTTCCATACCCAAAGCAGTTAGATATAATGTCATTTGAACACAAGAAAATAGTTTAATCTTGTGAGGGAAATGACCAAAGAAAACTTTTTTTTAAACTTATGATCATGAGAGGTGATTGTTGATTGTTTTAAGGATTTTATTTTGACTAGAAAACACTGTGTCTTTCATCTCATTCAAATTAAATTATGTTGTGCTATTTTATTGCTTTAGAAAGAATAACTCATTAAGTTAGAGTTTTTGGAAACATAACTCCCTGCTGCTGTCTTAAAAACAGCAGGCCCATAGGATTTTTAAAAAATGTTTCAAATGTTTTTAAGTCTTTTACAGCAAATTAATGGAGTAATATCTTGATTGAAATTCTTCTTCCAAAATGACTTAAAAACGTTTTTGCAGGTGTTAATTGCATTGGCATGTTTGACAAAAATGATTTTGTTGATTTTGAAAAATCTTAAGCGTTTTCAAGAACTATTCACATTGATATGGTCTTAACTCTTACAAAAATCGATACCTGTAATTTGAATTGTTTTGTGTTTTAATTAATGCTACTTATGTTGTACATTGTAATGACAGTAGCAAATTGCAGTACTTTAATTATCATTTGGCATTGCAAGACAAAAAAAGTATACAAATATTTCTAGTAACTGTTAGCTAAGAATAGACTGTATTACATTGCACAGCATCAGATGCGTTATTACATTGTACAGAATCAGATGCAGAGATCATCTTTGATGCTATACAATATAAATAATATAGTCTTGAGTTTAGAGTTCTCAGATTTCATTAGATATTATTCTTAAATAAAAATGTCATTGCACAACTGATTTATGCTAATGTATGAAATTAATCCAAAGGTATGAATAAATTATTGTATATTTAAACTAGTCCAAGTTTTATTCAATATTTCTAGACATTATAAATTGTCACTTAAAGTTAAACATTGGTTTCCTATTTCATCATCATCATCATTCATTTGGCATTTGGGCAAATGCCCTTATGCCTGCAACCTAGCGGATGAATTGACACACTCTCAGCAGCTTTTCTTTGTTGGTAAATAGGGTGTTGGTGGGTTGGTCTGTTATTCTTTTATTGATGGTTTAGGCTCTTAAGTCTTGAAGTGCTGGCCAGTTGAAGGGGTGATATGTTACTGTCTCATTTGGATGTTTGCAGTGGGGGCACATTGGTGTTTTGTATGGTTTTATGCGGTTAAGGTAGGAATGAAGTTGTATGTGTCCTGTGCAGTTTATTTGATCTATAGGGTCTGGGCATATTTGTGAAAACACATCCCCCTGTTGATTCCGTAAATCAGACCTCTTTACCCTCAAACTCATAAAATCTTACAATATCATCACAAAATGTTCCATACATTATCTTAAACATACAGTATAGATAATGTAAACACCTCAAAATCGTACATTGTATGCCAAAATCATAAGAGTAAACAGGTCTGATAAATTTAACCACTCTTTGTTGTTAGCTCTGATAATCTGCTTTGCAGTGTTGAGTGATGTTGGCATGTTTGAATGTTTATTGGAGTCTCCCTGTTTTAATAGTTTATCTGCTCTTTCATTTCCTGGTAGATTGCGGTGCCCTGGTATCCATTGTAAGTTTAGTTCTACTGCATAGGTTTTGAAGGAAGTGCTTATTTTCAGAAGTAGTGATTTTATTGTTGTTGTGAGATCTTGATGCCCAGCTGCGTAAATTATTGATTTGCAATCTGAGAAGATAACTTTACTTTGTTTGCAGCAATAAACTGAGGAATCCAGATTGGTGCGGATACACTGCTTCAATAGCAATAATTTCTGTTTCATAATTACTGTAGATCATCCCACTGGGGTTGCAGAGTTCGTCACATGATCGGTCTGGGTACTCTATGTGTACAATATGTGTACAATATAGCCTGCACATAGGTCTCCTTTGAAAGGTGACTCATCTGTGTATATTTTGATTATATCCTCCCGGAGAGGATGCTATGTTTTTTGTGCAGCTATTATTGTATGTAACTGGTCTGTACTTTTCTTTTCTATCTCTTTGATTTGGTCGATTTTGAAATAAGCTGTTTAAAGTTTTTTTGGGGATAGATCTTTAGGTATAAGTTGCAAGTCTTCTCTGTGTGTTGGTAGTTGTGTTTCTCTTCAAGTTCAGAGGCCACATTTGTTATTGTTTTCTGTTTAATTGTGAGGTTTGGTCTCCATTTTTTCAATCTTTGGATGTTGCTTGTCTAGCCATTTGTACCATTCAGCTATCTCAATAACTTCTGCCCCTCTTCTAAGATTTAATGGCTCGATATTTGTTTGTATTTCACATGCTGCTGTAACAATTTTTTCTGTACTCGGTTACTTGTCATACTTCTTTTTGTCTTGTTTGCTGATTAAGACTCTAAGCCAAAACGTCAATCTTTTGTCCTGTCTATGAATTCAAGTTAAGACTACCTTCGTCCTTATATTTCATTTCCACAACTTGAATGCAATCCATCAATTAATATCTTTGACATCATCTACAGCCTTTCCTTTTATAAATATTGGTGGCATTATATGATGGCATTTTTTCAGTTTTGAGGGATTTCTCATTTGCTTCAAGAGCTATTTGTGACATTGAGTAATTTCCTATTTAAAAACTAAAAATAAAGGGAAGCAATAGAAGATTATTATTTTTATTTCCTCTGTTTCTGTGTCTAAATCTTATACTTATAAAGATGGAACACATCTATTCTTCTTGAATAATATTTAAAGTCTTGACAATCATACATTTTGTGACCCATTTCAACAACAACAAAAAATTATTTATTTATTCATTTTTTTTTTGGAAGAGAGATGAGGATAAGTGTCTTGACTGTTAACAGTTGAGCAGAGTTATATCAAATGATTCAGGAATACCTAATCTCAACACAGGATTGATGAACTCTGACAAAGCTCCATTTGTTCTTTATGAGTGCTGATATTTTGCTCTGCTCTGTATCAATGAATTCTATGAATGAGAATGTGTTTTTCAACTTTGTAGCTACCAGTGCACCAAATATTAAAATAAGATTCTTTATTGACAAATTCTTAAAACACAAATTTTAAGAAAAATGTGGACTGTCTTACTAATTAGTGTCTGTCGTTAAATCTGGCATGACAGAAAAACATCAATTTCATTTATTATTAATAGGAATCAGGAAACAAATATTAGCTTCACTTTGGAGAATTTTTTTTTGTTTTAATTAAGATGTACTGTACACCATTTGTTGATACTTCTACATAAAATAAACCATATTGCAGCAATGGGAAAACAATCTCGCTTTTCATATCCCAGTGATTGTAGCCCAGTGAGAAACCTTACCATGAATCTGGGGTTATGGGTGATATTCTTTCGTTTCACTCAAAATGCTCATCCTGGTATGGCGATGTGCAAGAAAAATTAAACCCTGCAACACAGCAAGGCAGTCCTCAGAATCTGAGATGATTGAGAATCTCTCCGTTTTTTTCTCGCTTTCATATTGCTCATCACATGATGACTGTCATATTTAGTGCTTGCTGCAGAGTTCACAAATAGTTTGAATCAATTAACATGTATTTGGATAAAAATCAATTTCTCCATAATGAGGTGTTTTGAAGAGATGGGTATTTTTCAATTTGTGCAGGTTTGTTTGTACTAGGAGTGTCATAGCAAGGGTTCCAGCCAAGCTTTAGCTAGCACCCCTTGCTAAAAGAAAAAAACAAAAACATCTGCAATTGGCAGAAAATGCCACCTTTCAATAAAAAGAAGAAAACTATGCAGACTACCTCCTAAGTCATCCCCCCCCCCCTCTTCCCAATGCCACTCTGTAGATGAAAAGTTTCATAATGATGGTGCGGTTAGTGGGGTTGCTGGTATTTAGGAAAAAGCTCTTACAATGAGCACTTCAGATGTGCCCATCTCTGAACATAAGACATCTAAACATTCAATGTTGATGTTGTAGTGGCAAAATAGGGTGTGTGCCATGTCTTGCCCCATCCGTACCAGGTCTTTGGTCCGGGTTTTGAAATCATAAATTGTTGAATGTGTGTCATGTCTTGCCCCATCCGTACCAGGTCTTTGGTCCGGGTTTTGAAATCATAAATTGTTGAATGTGTGTCATGTCTTGCCCCATCCGTACCAGGTCTTTGGTCTGGGTTTTGAAGTCATAAATTGTAGAATGTGTGTCATGTCTTGCGCCGCCCGTAGCAGGCCTTTGGCCCGCTTTTTGAAGTCATAAATTGTAGAATGTGTGTCATGTCTTGCCCCATCCGTAGCAGGCCTTTGGTCCGGGTTTTGAAGTCATAAATTGTAGTGTGTGTCATATCTTGCCCCATCCATAGCAGGCCTTTGGTCCGGGTTTTGAAGTCATAAATTGTAGAATGTGTGTAAAATGATGTCTTGCGCCGCCCGTAGCAGGCCTTTGGTCTAGGTTTTGAAGTCACTATAGAATCTATGTATAAGATAAAAACATATGTCAATACGAGGATACAGTTAACCCACCAAAAGGTTTCTGTTTGCTCAAAGCATTTAGTTTTACACCAAGGAATGTAAAAAGACAGTATGAAAAAAAACAAAAACATTATAACAATTGATTTCGATGTCAGTTTTACCAAAAAACTCCAAAACATCTAATCCACTGTTGTATACGGACAAGAAGGCTGTCTTGCCTTCTCCCTTAGTCTCATCACTGTATACGGACAAGAAGGCTGTCTTGCCTTCTCCCTTAGTCTCATGGAATACACATGAGAGCAGTCTTACATTGTTATGAAATTAATAATGAGCATCATTTCCAAAAAATCCTTACTGGGTAAAACCCACCTCAGTTCCTAATGTAGGACCATCGTTATACATACAATAGAATCATTCAATGTAATGCATTAAGTGGCTTTAAGTTTATGTTGGCTGTTTGAAATCTGATTTCATTTATGGTCACAGTTCATTACATAATCTCACTTCCTCACTCTTGTACATTTGTGTTCGTGAAATATATAAATTATGAAATGAGATCTCTGTTTTAATTTTAATGTCTGCGTCTGCTGCCAAATTGAAAACTAAAAGGAAATAATGTCTTTAGTGTGGAATAATTTTGTGATCTTGGTATGAGTTATGTTATCAGTAAAGAAGGCAGCAAATTTTTCAAGATTACAAACACCACCTTCTTTTTACAACACATGGGTATAAATTCACTTTCTTTGTCTCTGATACTGGTAATTTTTATGCCATTAATAAACATTTTCACTTTGTTCAATAAAATATATTCTGAAAAATGTAAGTTAATTAAAAAATTTAAGATAGGCTTCCACTTCCATTTAATATACTTTCTAATTAAGTATTCCTACCACAGTCCAAAAAATTATTTTTTAGTATGTCTCATGTTGATAAATGAACTAAAAATATATCAGAAATAAAAACTTTTAAATTGACACTTTCAAAATTCATCAAAAATATATGACATTCATAACAGACAAATCTTAGCGTAGGCAGCAGGTGCGCATCACTGCCAATAGAGCATTTGAGTGCGCAATTTAAAGTCGCTATCAGAAATTGCCCGACTGAATCAGGCTGAAGTAATTTTCCTCGCACTTGTTTGTCATGCGGATGAAATAATCTTCATCATTTATACTCGAAAGTAGGTCCGCCTGCACCAAACAGACGTCTTCTAACCGCGCCACTTCGTCATGGCCCAGACTAACGGCTGTGGTGTTATTCTCTTTGGTGAACAGCCGCACGTCAACGATGCTGTCCTCGTCGTCTGCGCGGAAGTTGTCGTCGAAGAAGATATGATGATGTCGACGGTCGCCGAGGTCCAACCAGAACGGTTTCCCGGCGCCGTGGTCGTAGTTGTTGACTTGCCAGAAATGAAAGTCGTCCACGTAGCCGGAGATCCCGTGAGACGCACAGAGCGCCCGGTAGATGTCCCTCTCGTGGACGAGCTTCTGCTGGACGTCCTGGCCACCGGTGGGCTTGTAGTTGATCAGTTCAAAATTGACAGCGTCGCGTTTGATAACGCCAGGATTGGCGTGCACTTTAATGTTAAGGGACCGCCTGAACGCCGGATGGTTCCCCCTCAGGCCGTACTTGAGGCTCGACAAGACGTTGGGGGCGTCGCGGCCGTAGGTTCGTATCACGATGGCAAAGTCACGTTTTCGTTCGGCGAGATGAAGGATCAGCTTGTACACGGACGGCAAGATGTAGTGATACGGTTGACCATCCTTGCCGGACATGGTCAAAACCTTGTCCCGGGATGTTTCCGTGTCGTAGTCCCAGAGGAGGCGAGCCAGGTGGGTGTCGAAATGTTCCTGGAACTGTCGGCCGTCGGGTCTGTGGACGAAGTCTCCGGTCTGCAGCCTCAGCTTGACCCGGTCAGTCGGGTTCTTAACGAGCTTTTTCTCCAGGAACTTGTAGTACGTGCACAGACCTTTGCCTGGGGGTTTGAGTGACGGGACCTGGGAGTGCCACGCCCACTCGCCGTTGTTTTCACTGCCCCACACGACGCCCGTCAGAAAACTGTTCAGGGCCTGAAATTATGGGGGGGGGGGGGTGTGTGGCTGAAGGGGATTGGTGGCCTGGCGGCATTTACCCTCTTTATAAAGAGGGTCCACATTTTTGAGTTTTATTTCATGGATGGGGTGCATCAAGATTCTCCTCCCACCTTTGGCAGCACTAACCCTAGCAATGCAACTGTTTCTGTGTATCTGTATGTATCATGAACTCAATAATTTTATTAATAAAATTACAGTCAGCTATGCGGATGCTGTGCAGCCATATTCATTACCTCAACCAGCCATTGATGAACCACAGTTTCATTGTGAACCACCGTTGCTTTGTCCATACTTTGCCCATGGTGACTGCCAGTTTGGTGTGAGTTGCCCATATGTGCATGGTGATATCTGTGATATGTGTGGGATGCCCAGGTTGCACCCAACTGACCAACAACAGAGGTCACAGCATGAAAAGGTATTACTTTCCTGTTGGTCAACAATACAGAAGATAATTGATATGCATGAAATATAAAAATAATTTTCTCAAATTACCATGTATTTGCCATTATGTTGATACTTATAATTCCTTTAACATGTAACATAAACTTAATGAAATTAATCTTCTTATATAGGAATGTCTAGCTCAACATGAGAAAGACATGGAGCTGGCATTCACCATTCAAGCCAGTAAAGACAAAGAGTGTGGAATTTGTCTGGACAATATACTGGACAAAGACACCCACGGCCAAGACAAAAGGTTTGGTATTCTTGAGAACTGCAACCATTGTTTTTGCCTGGACTGTATTCGTCAGTGGAGGAATAATAAGAGTGTAACCATTGAAACTCACAGGTCAGTTTGAGAAATTAATGCTAATGATAAAACTAAAAGCATGTTCAAGTATTGATGTTACTGACTGGGGAACAACCATAATAAGTAGAGACAGTGTAGGATTCATATCCCGGATTTAATAAATGTATTCACCTGAGGAGTCTTTTAATGTTTTTTTTTAAAGTAATTTTTAATCTCTTAAGAAAATATCAAATTGTACATTGAAATGAAATATGATTTTTTTGGGGACATATAAAACATTTTCATACATTGAATTGAGTTTTCACCATGAATATAGTTGTTTTTTTTCCCAGGTCATGCCCCACCTGCCGCACTCATTCTGATTTTGTGACCCCCAGTAAATATTGGGTAGAGTGTCCAGAGGAGAAGAAGAAACTCATTGATGCATACAAGCAAGCACTGAGGTAAGTTACATATAAAGTGCCTCATTGACTCGCCCTCTTTTGTTTTCTGATGAGTTGCTTCTAATTTTTCATGTTAAATTTTTTTTTTTTTAAATGTCATTGCTTTGGTTTATCTGTAGCTTTTTCAATTTTAACTTTTGGTACTTTATATTTTAAAAAAAATAAAATTTGACTAATCTATTCTTCAATTGGAATGATATTTCAAATCGGGATGTTAATTATCATGGATTTTTTTTTCTTCTTCTCAGACAAATTATCAGTTTTGAAATCTGAGAAAATTAACAATTAAATTTCAATTAATTTCATTAATCAAACTTTCAGGCCACCCCCAACCACCCAAAATCAGTTTTTCAATGGGAAGATAAAATGAAATTTCCAATTACTGCGCTAAATTAGATTCTTTAAAAAAAATATAGCAAGTGTGTTAGGTGCATAATATTTTCTTTTGATTTTCTGAAATAGTTGGTGAAATAAAGTGTAAAAGCGGGTGGGTCGTTAGAATATTAATATAGTTCATGGGTGTTGTGAAAAAAATGTGCGGTTGCGAGCCTTGGGATTCTTATAAAGTGTGTTACTTGTATTGATATTTTGTCAAATTTTCAGCCTCACCACCCACCCACCCCACCCCCCCCCACCCCCTCTTTTGCTCTGTTTTACATTTTATACGGAAAAAGGTTGTTTTTATTTTAAAAAAAAATATATTAAAACTTTATAAAAAAAAAAAAAAAAAAGTAGCGGTAAATAGAAATGAAGACTTTTCTTAAATAAAGTAAATACAGAAAAATATTGATCTATTGTTTATAAGGACTAGCACCTGGTACGGGTGTACTTAATAATGTGTGTCTGAATTTTAAAAAAATATAACTTAATGCGCTGGTTGACATATAATTTATATGATAGTACCGGTATTATTAACTATTATTATAAAATGTTACTTTTGAAAGCACTGTTTTCTTCCTACCCTACCTTCCACTGATTAGTTGAATTATATATATAAATATAAATATAAAGCTAAATATTTCCTCAGACAAACTAAAATAAATTTCAGGGCTACAAAAGGCTCGACAACTCTCAACTTCACGGTACAGACATCGTTTTAGAACCCATAAGGTTTGGCTCCTATGCTATCGTAGCAAATAAATGCGAGAATGCTTTTAGATATTTTACCAGCGATTATTATAAGACTAACGATATGGTTTAGGATGATGCACAATCCCGTTATATTATAGATATATGATATAGCCTTGAACAAAACGTAGTAAAGCTCTCTGACATACCTCCTCCACGGACACGTTAGTAAAGGAATCTGCCACCAGCATTGTGTTCCTGATGTCCAGGTGAATGATGAGCTTCGGCTTGGGGTATCTGTTGCCGTACACGGCCATCCTCGGTACGACCACTTCATTGGTGCGGACCACCCCTGTTTTTTTGGACTCCCCATCCGCCTCGGCGGAGTCGCCGACACCACCGTTCATGGTCGGCTCCCGGTGTTTGGCGGCGATCTTGTCCTGGCAGAAGTCCTTGGCGTGAGTCCTGACGTAGTCATTGCGTACAGCCAGTTCTCGCATGGAGAGCGCCACGTCGTGGACCTGCACTAAGGATATGGGATGCTCCAGCGTTACTGGTGTTGAGCCGTTGCGAAGCGAAGATTAGAACACCTGAAGAAGACACGGTGCATTAGTGGAAAGTTAGTTAGATCACAAAAATAATGCAGTTTGGAAGCTTTATATCTGTGGAATATAGAATATAGGTAGGAAGTCTTGACTTGATGGCCGAAAACAATATGGCCGAAATGTCATTTTTACCTGTGTTTTAATTTTAAAAATAAATCATGAATCGGGTAAAAGAATGATCACAGGCAAACTGTCTGGTCAAGGTGGTGGGACTCCACATGTGTAGTTTATACCATACCGGTATCATTAAATAGTTATTTTAAAAAAAATGTTTTAAAAGGAAAACCAGTGGAAAATAAGACCAGCAGTAATGCCATACTGTAGCTGCAAGTTAAACAATATAGAGTACGAGAATCTGATTGGGATTTCCTGCTGGCTTTGTCGTTAAGGTGCCGGAGAACATATAAAAGTTGCAATGACGACTTACAGCGCAGCTATATCAACGCGGAGTGGTCCAAATAGATGTCTAAAGCCGGTATGTCAAACGGGGTCAAACTATTGAGCGGTCGGTAGACTATCTACTTCCGGCAATGCTTTGTTCTGCGTCAACTCGGAGAAATACCGGATTTATCGACTGCCGTTGCACGGGTCTGTCTGTACATATTATATATATATATATATATATATATATATATATAT